CTGGTTTTGAGAGAAAACTAAAAGTCCGAATTTGCCATCTTGTTTTCCCAAATTACTTACAGTGCGTCAATTATTTCAAATTACAGGCCGCGCACATGGAAACTTGGTAATTTAATAATAATAATATCGGCACTGGTTCTAAACTGAACTTATCTCGAGCACGCGCAGAAATTAATTAGATCTGCTTGTCGTTCAAACTCTTGGTACCTACATTACATCACTATCGCGTTATGATGAACACTCAAATTGTAACCGATTTCAAATACCATGCATTAATAATCCGTATTATCATGTTTACTGCCCGAATAACTCGTAAAATCGATAGAGCTCGCAACTGCGAATTCGGTTCGTCAGTTCGGTGTGCAATATGCAAAATACTTCACGGGGATCAATCGATAAACAAATAAATTGTGCGCTAACTAGCGCATCGTCCAATTTCCCGTCATTTACGCGTGATATAAATTGAAATGAAGCACGTATAATCAATTGCGTAATATGTGATATTTCGAGCTCGTATACTGAATTTCGGCGATATTATAGGCTGTACTAGACTAAGCCCGCAATTCACTACCGTGGAAGTGTATACTATAAGTCAACCTTCTCGCAACGAGATTGGTTGCATAGGAAGAAATGTAATGTTGAAAGTAGTGCAATAGTTACTTTGACAATGAACATGTTTATCCAACATTTTAATAATCCGGCTTTATTTATACAAGGTATAAAAAGGCGCTAAAAAGCGTTTCTCAACTTAACCCAACACATATTTGTGTAAATTTTCTAACTCCAAGGAAAACAAAAAAATAAAAGAAAAACCCGTAACGAGTCCCTATTCACGGCCATGGGCGATGAAATCAGAGATAAAATGCTTCAATCTTTTCTTGAAATTCTTTATAAAGTAGTGAGTGAACTCGGTAGGCAACGCTTTGTATAGCTTGATAGCAGTACATATGTACGACCTTTTAAATAGAGATCTTGAATGTCTCCGGTTAACTAAGATATGCTTATTCCTTGTGTCCATTTGATTAACATCTGAGTATCTGATAAATTCGGTTGACAGATATGGAGGGGCTTGCGTTGTGATTACTTTAGGGGTCAAGGTCAATACGTGCATTTTTTGTAGCTCTTCTCCCGGCTCACGATATTTATGTGACACTGTCTCAAATTTTCTCACGCCACAAGCAAATCTGAGACACGCATTTTGAATAGTCTGAAGTCTCCTTATCTCAATCGATCTTAGTAGTGAATTCTAGACCATATTAAGGAAGCGCACAACTTCAGCTTGAGACCAGTACTCATACTTTTCCTATGAGGAACTAATTGCATCAAGACACCGAGTGATGTTCGGCACAGTTGCCTGACTTTTTTTGATCTTTGGTTAATTTTGAGATTATGGTCACAAGATACGTTAGATAAATTTATTAAATCATCATTAATCAAATGTTCGGCATTTTTTAAATCTTTAATATCAAAGCCAAAGTACAATTGAGTGTCGTCAGCATAGTGTTGAATAAAATGTAAATTGAGAACTATGATGGTCCCAGAATGGAACCCTGTGGTACCGCTAGTGTAACTGGTATCTCCTCCGAGATACTTGAGCCAATCACAACCATCTGACTCCTGTCAGTGAAATAACTTAATACGAAATTAATTGCAGATTCCGAAAAACCAAATTATATGAGCTTTTCCACAAGAATAGATGGTTCCAGAGTATTAAAAGCCTTTGTATAATCAAGTAACACTAAGCATGCTAAATTTCTTGATCCACACATCTGATTGAGTCGTCAGTGATGTTGTTGTGCTGTGGTTATTCCTGAAACCCGATTGGATTTCAGGAGTGATACCATTAGAGAAGACGTAGTCAGATACCTTATGTTTCATGGCTAGTTCTAATAACTTGGAAAATGCTGGTAGTATATTTATCGGCCTCAGATGTGAAATATCAGTAGGGTTACTTATTCTAGCTAGTGGGAGAACATTTGCTTTTTTCCAACAGTTGGGGAAGTTCGACGATTCAATTGCATAGTTGATGATGAGAGTTATATTTTCAATTAGCAAATCGAATATGATTGTCAGCATACTTAGGCTGATTCCGTCAACACCCAAGGAATTACTTTTGATAATCCGGAAAAATCCCATAATATCGTAGCAACTTATTTGGGAGAATGTGAATTGTCTGGCTTGCTGGCTGGTGTTATATTTTTCCAGCAGTTGCATTTGTACTCAGACTTCAATCATTTTTTGACAGGATGAATTCCATATAGGCTTTTTTCTCCCTAATAATAGCCTTTGCAACTTCATTGCGCATTTCTTTATAGAAGATCCACTTGCCTACCGACTTATTCCGCTTGTACTTATACGCCTTATCTCTCGATTTCATCATTTCTTTTATATCATATGTTAACCATGGTGCCGGAGGCTTTGATATCATAACAGTCCGTACTGGTACACTGACGTCACGATATCATTCAGAAAATATACCATTTCGTTTGCACTTTGCACGTTGTATATCTGAACCCAAGGAACCAAATAAAGCATTTCATGGAATATTTGCTGGTCAAAATGCTTGAAAGGTATAATGTCTAACTTTGTTGCGGATTAGTGCAGTAGTAATTTCGCATGTAATGATACAGTGATCCGAGATATTGTGGGACGGTAAAACTTTAACATCTCTAGTGAAGAAAATAATATAAACATTAATAAAAAATCAACAATAGTAATTAAAACATGAATTTTATTAAAAAATGAAACACTTCTTTGAATTGTCACTGAATTATATGTAATTTCTTAATATTCAATAAGCTGGTGATGTTTCAAGGTCAAGCTGTCATCTCATACTTTGACAATATTTTCTTTTCAATATAGGTTGCTGGTTGCTGAAATTTGTTGATTGGATGTATTTGACGGATTGTTACCCTATAGGTGGAGAATAACGGACTGAATTTGAAAACCTTGGCGAGAACCACCCTTATCTTACTATAATTATGTATTGTATAAAGTATGTTTAACAGCGGCAAGATTCGTCATCGCAAGATCGAAAAAAAAACAAAATAAATACGTTGCTCGCCAAATATCACATTCGTCGACAAAATCAAATAAACAAGTTTTGTTCACGACATTCTCGGGGCGTCGTTTCAATCAACTGCGAGCGAAAACCCAACCGCATAGGTAACCTTTTCTTGGCGCCAACCCATTTTAACAAAATGCTAGCTGGACCTGCTATAAATGCGCGGATATTCAAAACCGCTGGAGTGATTATGCTTCATGGCAACGCTCGGCCTCTCGTTGCGGTAAGAACACACAGGCAACTGAACAAAGTTGACTGGGGTTTACTGGATACAGTCCTGACTTAGCACTATCAGATTTTCATCGTTTTCCAAAACTTAAGGAATTTCTTGGTGAAAAGCGCTTCGAGAATGATGTTGAAAGAAACAGCTACTAATTGATTTAACGATCAGGTGGTGCCACGATAATTCATATTTTAGTTTATGCTACAATTTACGTTAATACATAAAGTTTCTCTGACTCGATTACAAAACGGTTCTCACTTAAAAACTTGATAAAATCCTTTCTAAGGGAACGCGCGGTGCAATATCTTTTCTCCGTTTCGTTCAGACATACGACTGCATACAAATATCGGGTGCATTCTAGTGTGAAGCCTCGCGAGCTCCCCATACATACAAATTGCGGTATTTCGAAAACACAAACCGCTATTTTGTTACCTAGAGAAGAAGACATATTTTACTGGATTCAGAACGGCGGCCGTAAATACCGCAGACTGCTATATCATTTTAATGCATAGTCGTAAACGGCGAACGAAAGGAATTTTGAATTTAAAATGGAATCGCTGAACATTGTTTGGTATAACAAGCTCCGAAATGCTGAAGGAATTGTCAGTATTATCTCATAGATGGCGCTGGGATCGTCGGCCTTTTTTTTGCTCCTTTCTAATGCCTGTTTTAATTGGCGATGTTCAGGTGGAATGAGTTAATCAACGTCCAAAGATGTACAATTAGAATAGGTATTGGAGAGCCCAAACATGGCGTCAAGTAGATTAACTCTATATTTCATACGCCTCTGCATATCAAACTTCATAGACATATTTCTGCTTCCATGACAGATGTAGGGAAAACGCCTAGGGGAGACAGGGGCTGGTTGTCACATGGGTTGGTTGTCACAATCGTTAAATCTCAACAGCTCCGCAAGATGTACTTGCCTGGCGCGCTACACATCGTTTCTGCGACCGCGCAGAACACTTGTATTCAGTACGAAAGTCGTCGTTGGTAGATTAAGGTCGCACACACAAAAATAAACAAATCGCCTAACCTGAGTAAATTTTTCGTTTGCGTAAACGAAAGACTGTACATGTCCCCACAGGAAAAAAATCTAGCGACGTTAAATCGGGTGAACTAGGAGGCCAAGAAACTGCTCCACCTCTGGCAATCCAACGGTGCCCACAAACCGCTGAGCCAAATACTCACGTACTTGTACAGCAAAGTCTCTCCATCATGCTGAAACCAAATTTGCCGTCGATCGTTCAATGGAACGTTTTCAAGAAGTTCTGGAAGAACTTCCTCCAAGAAGCGCCGGTAAATAGGTCCTGTTAACCGTTCTATTAACAAATGCATCGTCTTTTTAAATTTTAACGCGTCTTAGGGCCGTAGTGTCGTAGTAACAAGTTTCCGGATATGGGTCACTATACTCAAATGTTTTCTGCTGTTACACTGACTAACCCCTAGAAGTTTGATCGCTTAGTTCTGAAGCGCCCTGTATATACACTATGGACTGTCGAAAGCTTGATTTGTTAGTCACTTTGCATAATTTGTCGATTTTCCCAAAGACGATGTTCCACTTATCTATATACCTACGTATGTAATATAAAAATAAACCGTGAAAAATCTAGTTCTTGGCTAACTTGTGTCGGAAATAAAATGTCACCTTACTGCTGTCATTTTTTGCCAATTTGCTCCTCTAATAATTTATTATATTGTATAATTACTCACCTATAGCTGGTAGTGGTTCCGAGCTTGCTGAGCACGTCGGCGCCTTTGTACGTGTTGACCAGGTCAAAGTTGACCACCACACCTCCTTCTGCATCCGCGTCTGGATCTTTCGACAGTGCGAGGCGCTCGCTGGGCAGATCCAACCCTCTGAAGGCCACGTCACACTCTAACGTGCTCTCTTCAACGCTCACCTGAAAACAGCAGATTTTTTATTTTCTTTCTTGTTTTTCTTTTCATTTGCGAACCCAATTTCAATGCGGTACGACTCTCCATCGTCCAACACAGCCATAGGCGAGGACGGATTGCACTACTATCGAAAATAGTGGCTGCGTATGATTTTTAGCCGTTTTTGTTGTTGTCGTTGAAGATTTATTTAGCATTATTGCTACAATATCAATCTTGTATAATGATTAAAATGTGTAATATTGAGCCATAGTCACGCAATTTCATTAACAATATTTCCCTATCTATAGTCTCAAAATGCCCTTTTGAAGTCTAAAAATATTGTTACAATATAATTCTTTCTCATCTATACTTCTTCTGCAGTCTTCCACCACCATTTGGATTTCCGTTTCTGAGGAAATTACACATTAACATTACCACCTTTTCTCTTTCACAAGATGGCATAATAATTACAGTTTCAACTTAACGTTTTGTCTCTTGTGCTTCTTCTTATAGGCGCCGTACTGTGACATTATAATCTAATTTTGTACATTTATATGGACTTTTCAGTCATAAATTCAAGGATGTATGTATCTCTTTAGTTAGCCATGAATTTGTTGTTGGATGAAAGTTATCAGGAAATAGAAATGTTCGGTAAAACCTTAACGCATGATGAAAATTTTATTGACGACAATAACGATAATCATCATAAATATACAGAGGAAATCGTAGCAGATCTTTAAGATGTTGTCTGTTATTGTGTAGGCGAAGCCTGACCTTTCCCTGTACAGGGTGGAAAACTAAGAATGCGAGGTGTTGTATTTGGAAAGCTATCCATCGTAGAGGCTTGCCTTAAAAAAATGGTCAAGAGAAAAACCTGCAAAATGTTTTCAAGTTCCTAAAATGGCCGCTAGGGGGCGTAACTGCAATGTCGAATCTAAAAAAGTGATGTGTCTTTGAATCCCGCTGGATTAAGATAACAAAAAGACTGATCTTCTAATTCGGGGATAATCTTAACTTTCTATGCCTGACAATTTTTGCTGTCTAAAAAGAAAGTGGTGGGGTATTTAAAGGTAAAAAAAAACACCTTACATCTTCGAAACGGCTAAGCCGATTTGAACAAACTTGGGAGACTTGGAAAGTGCCATTCGTGGGCTAAAAATGTTATAATATTTGACGTTTTGTGGCCGCTAGAGGACTTTTTCGACATCCTTTCGGAAATGGTTAATTTTCTCAAAAAAATTAAGAGCATTGGTATGATTTATCAAAAAGTAGCTAAATGATGTCTTAAAGTTTCGCGAAAACCGCATCTCGACATGTTGTTCCTAACCTAAAATTTAGGCCAAAGAAAATTCTATACGGAAACCTCTTATATTTTATTTTTTTAAAACTGGTTTTTCTGGAATTTCTTCCTATTATTGAGTTGTGCAGCTTAAATTCGGCTCTCGGTATATTACGTATTGCATTACGAATTCGGTTTTCCATATCTTCTCTGGTTGTAGGTTGAGTCTGGAACGCGATGTCCTTTAACGCTGCCCATAAACAACAATCAAGACAAGACAAGTCTCGTGATAGCAAATGCCATGGAAGCAGACTTCCCCTTCCATCTAATTGTAAAGACAAGTTTTGCGTGTCTCCAGTGGCACATCTTCCAACAATGCTATTTGATTGTCCAGAAAGTCAAGAAAGACATTGCCATTTAGGGATTGCTCGAAAAAATATGCCACAATAATTCTGCCTACTAGTATGCCACACCACACATTTAAACTAACGTCCAAAGGCAATAGTCAAAGTCTTCCTATTTCAAGGTCTGACGCGGAACGATATTATATCGGTTCATTCTGAATGTAATAAAAGAAGTTAAACTTAAACGGTGTTACGTGCTAAAACCACGCAACCTTTCCTTTTACTGTTTTGATCACTTATGAGTAATTGAATTTCTCTTTACTGATTATAGACCAAACCCTTTTGATTTTATTTTGGTAAATTTCATAGTTTATTGATTGTAGAATTTCTCACGTCTTATATCTGTCATTCTCAGCGACTCAATATTGTATCTTCTATCTGAGAAATTTCCTCATAAAATATTGTTGGTCCCTCGTAGACAGATTTGTCTCTGTCTGCGATCTGCCCAGTGGCAACCAGTACGCCACCTTGTGACTTTACACGTACTAGCAGTATAGGGATCTTTTGTTTTATCAAGATAAGGTTCTTCAAGGCCGTTCATTTAACCTTCTTTTAATGTTTACTTTTCTATCAAGATACCTTCTGTTAAAATTTGATTTACCGTCAAGTTACCTTCTTTTGAAATGTGATTTACTATCAAGACACCTTCTTTTTACTTTGGCTTTTCCGCTGTGATTTTAGTTGTGTGTTTTTTCGTTAACTTCCACATTTTGGGATATTAACGCCCCAAGCACCAGTCTATGGAGTAGTACCTCTTTAACTTGTACCTTACGTTCAGTCGTGTTGGTTAGGGTACTACCCCGTCCATTTTGTAATGGGATTTTAACCTCCAGCGGTATGTTCTCTTTTGTATACCATCGGACTACGTCCTTTAATGCTTGTCCTGAAGAAGTTTGTTCAATATCTGATTCCTTTTAGTGGAAAGCCATTGTGGAGAACCATCATTCACACTCCTCCAGCTTTTTTTTGTAGCTGCGTTGTAGCTGTTTCGCAGCCGATTTTGTTGGAAGCCATCTCTTCCCCTTTATAAAAACCCTGATGAACAGCTAACATATCATTTTAACTGTGTATTTTATAGATATTGATATATTGATTGTTGCTGACTGAAACTCTTAGTGTGTTCTTGATGTTGTTTGGCACTTTACGAATTCAAATATGGGGTAGCGCCTACATGTCGCTGTCTTCTGGCGTTATTACATTACATTAATCACGATGTTGAATTTTGAGCTGTCTTAACTTATTTTAGAACAAAAAAATAACTTTACCTTTGGTATATATTTATCCGTCCTTGCCTTGCAGAAGGAAAATTAGTTTTCTTGTAAAAGAGAATGTATTGAAATTCTAATTATATCGTCTTGTCACTTTAATATCCCACTATAAAGTAAGACAGGAAATAATTGAAATGATTTTGGAAAAAATTGGTTTTTGCTGTTTTTTGAATTTCAAAACTTTTTAAGCCGCATTTTGCTAGTGACCTAAACTATATACCGTATATACAAAATATTTTCTTACCTGTCTCTCACCGAACATTTGCTCCAAGTCGCAGCAGTGTACTTGTACTAGAATCGTCCATAGGGTTAAAATCTGGAAGGCGAGGAGACGTATGGGGTCCATGGTAAAGACTAGATTAAAAGTAATGAAAAGGGAGGATCAGTTAGCGGATTTTTGTTCATTTTGGAACAAATTATGGGGACATTCTGATGGACGTTAGGGCTTTTATTCCGTCAGTGATGGTCTTCGTTGGAGAATAATTCCTGAAACAATAATAACATAAGAGTTAATAATACTCGAAGTTATGGATGTCTTAAATATAGAAAAGTGTTTAACCCTTTTGGCGCATCAAAACTTTACTATGCTAAGTGATTGTGGATACTCGATACTTTTCAAAGATCGATGTCCACAATTTTGCTCAAGGATGAACCTCTTTTATTAAGAGAAGGAATGTGGTACATGCATGATGGTGCTCCTCGACATTTTAGCATTCATGCTAGGGAATTTCCAAACGAAGCGTTTACAAATCACGGGATAGAACGTTGTGCAACCCATCCTGGCCTCCCAGATCCCCTGATCTAAATAGTTTAGACTATTTTTTGTTCGGGACCTCAAGACCTTGGTATATGCTACAACGGTTCAAACTGTAGAGGAAGTAAGGCAGAAGATTTTGCTTTCTTGACAAACCATAAGAAATACTTCTGGGATCTTTGAAAGGGATCCCCAATACATGAGCAAGAGAATTGAGCCTGTATTCTAGCAGAATGAGGACATTTTCAACAATTCTTGTGATAATTAGATTCAACAGTATCAGTTGTTTTTATAATACTCATGCATTGCAAGATCGCTAAAATCTCATATGGTAGTTGCAGGTGAGATGTGTTTTTGTTTAATTTTTATTCAAGTTCTTTTGGTTCTTGACATCCTTTACGATGCCTAGAGTACGGAGACCCACGATTTCGTCAACTTAGTGAGTTTGATAGGGGCCGTATAGTGGGACTTCGGTAAGCTGGACTTTCTTTTCGGGCAATTGCAGTTAGAGTGCAAAGAAGTGTAGACACTGTGGTTAGGTGTTGTCAGGCATGGCTTCGAGAAGGCCGTACGCAAAGAGCAAGGGGCACTGGACGCCGCCGTAGAACAACAGACCGTGAAGATCGCCGCCTAAGATCATTGGCCTTAAGGGACCGTTTCTCCACTACCAGGTCCATTGCAAATGAATGGTTTGCAGAACACGGAAGACCTATTGGCATGCGAAGTGTTTACCGACGAATGAGAAGTTTTGGTTTGTTTTCATACCGGCCACACTCGGTCCTCCCTTTAACTCGAGAACACCGATGTAATCGCCTTGAGAGGTGCAGACAACGGTCACTCTGGGATCAGGAATGGAACAGTATTTTCTTTAGTGACGAGTCTCGATTTTGTTTAGGCATGCACGATGGTCGTGCCAGGGTCAGAAGGCGACGTGGTGAAAGGAGGAATCCACAGTTTTTGTTGAAAGACATGTTCATCACACTGTTGGAGTTATGGTTTGGGGTGCTATAGCTTATGGTTCCAGGTCACCTTTAATCTTCATCAGAGGTAACAGGAACGCGCAGCGTTATATCCACGAAGTTCTAGAACCCCATCTTTTACCCTATCTTGACACCCTTGCAGATCCAACTTTCCAACAAGATAATGCCCGACCACATGTTGCAAGAGTCACAATAGACTTCTTTCAACATAATGATGTCACATTGTTACCATGGCCACCAAGATCTCCCGACTTATCCCCAATTGAATACGTGTGGGATATGATGGGTAGGAGATTGCTCAATTTGCAACGTCCTCCTCAGACTCTAGAAGCACTTCGAGAGGAGTTGGTGGTTGCATGGTAGGAGATACCACAGGAGGACATTGACCACCTGATCAGAAGCATGCCTAGGCGCGTTGGAGAATGCGTAGCACATCAGGGTGCATCCACACATTATTGAAGCTCAAAGGGCTTTAAAGCAGTGCAATCATTTTTATCATTTACTTATTATGCTTCATTAAGTACTTATACAAAATTTTATTAAAATAAAACCATTTAAACTAGGTGTTCGGATTTATATGTCACTTAGTATACTTGGGCTTTTGAACGTTGCTTTATCTGAAGTTGACATTCTTAATACATTTATAAGAATTACCTTCAAAATTATATCAAAATAGCACCGAGTTCATCCACGAGTATTGCACAAACTAACACTGTCACAACAAAACTGCGCTATATCCGTTTTTAATTAAACTGCTATTACAAAAACGGACTCAACTTACAACTATTATGTGTTTATTGAAATTCCAGGTAAACATTACAAAACGACCGTTAGGTGCTTGAAATAAAAACACCGTATTCCTGATAAGCTGATAACGCAATTTTCGCGGTGTAACATCACTTTCCGAAGGTCAGCGACTAAACAAATGATGTACATGTGAATCGCTAAATGAATAACGATTAAAATTACACCGTCAAGTTTTGCGTTTGCGTCATCGTTTGCCATTTTTCAGTTTGGTTGCTTTTATGGGTATCGAAGAACCTGTTTTGGTACTGTGTCGCTCCTACGCCTTTTTCGTCTAACAATCAGTGTACGGTGAGGTTTACATTCGGCATACTTTGCGATGAGGCGATGAAAAATTATGGTCCTTGAACCAGTAGCAAGAGCATAGCGTCAGGTAGATTAAATCGGTGACAAAAATTTCTAAAATGAGATATTATGTTTTTTGGATGTTATATAATCTGTAGAGGGTGGACAAATAAGCGATCGAAGTTGCACATACCTCTTTCATCTTTAAAAGCATTGCTGATACTGGAAGGTAATGTCACAGCAATAAATTTTAGATAAAAGGAACCGCATACTAGAGGCGCGTGGTTTGGTTGAGTTGTGCCCCGTGGCTGCTGATGAGGTGCAAGCCTAATTAAATTGCCAATACGGTGTGATTTTCAAAGCAGATTACATCTTAATTTGTAATATATCTTTGGGATCATCATAGCAGCCGCGGTGTTCCGGCATTTAGGCTTCTGCTTGCGCGGCTGGTTCGATATAAAAAAAATAAAAAGTAAAGCTTCCGTGCTGCGACCATGCAAGGCTATTTATTTATCAGGTGAAGTCAACTATAAAATTGGCCTTAACGTACCCAATGAAGCGACTAATCCAAAGATCGAACAACTAAAAGCTTATTGGACAGATTACTTTACTTTATGGTCTTCCCGTGTATCTTTTATCTATCCAGTCACTGATATACAGAAGGGCTCGGAAAGTAACTAAGTTGAAAAACTCTTAATGGTAAGAGTTGCTAGCTACCTACATAAAGTCAGTGGAACCATTAATTAGCATTTCTACATGAGGACAGTAAAACCGTATGCTATATTCCGGCGTCCAAAAGGGATCTGAAGGATACTGGAGACACATGAACTTGGAGCAGAACGCAAAAATAAATTTAGAACTTTACTTTGAAAATAGTAACAGTATGAAACATTTAACCATGTGACAGCTAAGAAGTCTATTTGGTTTGATTATTCTCCGATTTCTAAAACGTTTCACTTGACCCTATGAAACTAGTTTAATTAAACCAAAACGCAGTCGTTTAATCAAGTGTATTAAACTGTTTACTTGGATTGAGTATAGTTATACTTAGTATAGTTTGGCAGCGGTTAAAGGTTGAGCGGGAGGTGGTATAACGATCATTTCCCTATTTCTAGTATAATAAATTGATATTTTCGAATTTTGAAATTTTATCTAAAAGGGATTCTGGCTTTTTGTTCACGAGAACTTTGTGGACTAGAGATAGGAAATGCAATTTTCTCAATCTATCTAAACTTAGAATTAAGCCGAATAATTTGGTTACTTAGGTGTAATTAAAAAAGTATTACGAACTTTTTAATTGGACACGTTTTCTAAGCGTAGATGGCGCTAAGCTCATCAATCCCTCTTTAGCCTCTCTAACGCAAATTTTAATTGGCTATCTTTAGGTAGAATGCGTTAACGAACGGTAATACTGGAGAAAACCTCTTTTGACAGATTGTTTCACATTTCTGAGGCCCGCTTTCCAATCGCAGGTGAACAGTAATTTTACTGTTATTTAATTAGTCTTGAGTTTTAGAGTTGGCCAGAACGTCCAGCTCTCTAGGAAGATCTAACTGTTATTCCCAATTGTTCATTGTGATGTAATCGAAAAATCTGATGCGTATACTGAGAAAACGTGGACAATTAAATAGTTTTTATAAAAAAATTTCATAATAATTTGTTTAATTATTCCAAGTAACTAAATTATTCGGTCCAGTTAACCGGAATTGGAAGTGTGAAAAATTAAACTAATTTGCTTGAATATAGCAAATTTTTTGTTAAATTGTTCAATTAGTTTAGGCAATTTAGCTTATGTCGAAGATGTACATTCCTAGAACTACTTTGCTTTGGTGATCACGAAGTGAACTGGAAATCACATCATCGCTAGCGGACACCAAATTTAACAGTTTATTTTCAGAAACTATCATGTCCACGATATATTCCGAGAATTACGATTTCTTCTTGTACCGGATAAGGTTAATTTTGGAACGTTGTAGTTTTGCTCATCTCGAATGCGCTGTCTGGACTGGTTTAATTATGCTTTATTATATAAAACGGAACTGCATAAATCCAACGTGCTGACATTTCCATTTAATGTAGGTCCCAAAGGCACAGTGAAAAAAATTACAGAGCGGCACGGGTATTACGTATCTAGCAAATTGACATTTTGTGTTTTTCTTTTGATATTTTGTAGGCTTTTTGTGACTTAAAGTAGGTTCTTCTACAATACGACTTAGAACTAGCTATTGTACACTTATTGTGTAGCATTTATATCTCGTGTCCACAATTTGCACGAATAGCGACAATCTCACTTAAAATATTACCACATTTTCTATTATAAAAAGAGACTCACACAAACACGTCTACTCTATTAATATTTTTACCGGAATTTCTATTTGTTAAAAACAAATTTCTGGTTTATTATTTCCAAACTGCGCGTGGAACATTTTCAACGATTGAAAAATAATCGAGCCCCTTTTCTGAAGTTCTCGTCGCTCTGGGCAACCTCACAAGCGAAGGATAATTAATCGAAGGAACTTTTTCCTTGGACAAGTTTTTAGAAACTTTCAACCTACAAAAGTTCCGCTGCCATTGGGATCTCATTTTCAGCTTTTCGATGAACTCATTAAGGGAAAATTTCATACCCTGAGGCGGAAAGAGTTTGACCGGCGTATACAGCTGCATACAGGGTGGCCTAACGAAAAGATCGCACCTCCATTTGTGACATTTTGGGAAAAACGCTCGGAATCGTCAATTTTGATTTTTAGGGGGACACCTTTTCATCTATAACCGTACAGTACAGGGTGATCCAGTAATAAGTTATACTTTAGATTTTTAAATGGATATAATATACAGGGTGTTTAAATTTACCTTCTAATATAGTTTTTTTTAAATATCTCGAACAATATTTGATGTATAACAGTGAAAATTGGTATACAAGGGTTTTGTGGTACGACAAAACGGACCATGGGCATAGTTTTACTGTAGCCGCTAGAGGGCGCTCTCTACTGTACCTATAGTGTATTAAAATGACCGAAAATGTTTTCTTAGTGCAGTTTTTTGCTTTTTGAATAGAAAAACCGATTATTCGCACTTTTCAACATAAAAAAGCTCACTTGTGAATTTTCGTTATAGTTAGTCGTTTTCGAGATATTTCGATTTTTAAGGTTCGATGCATTTTTAATTATTTATGATAAAATAACGTCAAAAAGTCAGTATCTCGATAATTTTTAGAAGTAGGCTGTGCCTGCAAATATTTTTGAAATTGAAAGCAGAATAAGGTTAAACGTCAATTAGTTGACAGTTAGTTTTGTTGTCTGTTGAAACCTGAAACGTTTTTTTGCAATTGTGAATGCACGAAATTTAGTTTCTTTTACCTGTTTTTTTTTGTAAGTTTTATAAAAATGCCATTTTTATTCTCCAATCAAGAGTTGGCTGTTTTTTCATGAAAGGCTTTAATAGAGCATTAATGGTTCTGAAAAAAGCAATGTCTTTTTTGTGCCATTGCACTACTTGAAAAATAGTACCAGAAACTATTTCTTAGCGTAGAGTTGATCTACTTGAAGTCATTGTTCTTTTGTTTTTTACCCTTTCCCGCCAATTCAAATGAGAAGTAAAATGAATAACTGAGTTTCTTTATACATAAGCTTCATCACTTTATTTTTGTCCATTTACTCGTTTGAATGTAGTAAAATACCTCGACGCTGTCTATCCTCTGCAACCACACATTTACGTCCAACAATTTCCTCGTCTATAAAATGAAAACACGTAGCGGAAATTCACTTCGCGCTTTTCCCGCTGACACCGTTCGGAGACCCGGAGTGAAACTGACTCCGGAGACCGGATTCCCAACTCCGGACACCGGGAGAGAGTCCGGAGAGGAGACACACGCAAGCGCAATGCTGATCGTTAGTACGGTCAGTGTTTATTAGGTAGGTAGATGAAATAGCAGTTGTAGTAATATTTATTTGACTCCAAAATGCAGATACATTGCACATACATAATGATATATTTTCATAAATAGGAGATCTTTCCCATTCCGGATCGAACAATCCACCAAAGATGCTTATAATCATGATACCTAGTAAATTTACATTCTTACATTTGTTCATCAACTTGATGATACAACGCATCTGTCAAAAATGATCATAATCGTATAGTAAACTACGATGAAGGTCCACTGTATGTAAGAATTTTCAGATACGTCATTTTCAATTTGACGACAGACCATGACGGTGTTCACATTTTTCAAATATTCTTCAAGAAGCGTTATCAGCGCCAGCTCCAACTATCATAAGTACTATGTTTGTATGCCTATTTTAAAGTCAAAACCAGCAAATGTAAAAGATTCATGTCGCACCCTTCAACACGGTACGTGATCGTCGTTAGACTTGGCAACCCTGCGAGTGACAGATAGACAACCCCGCCAGTGAAAAAGGCAATCAAACAATAAACATTAACAGTTTTTATGATTTCGACCCTTAGTGCAGTAAAAAGACGTTATTGTGGCGGTAAAATAAATGAGGATGGTTAAAAAATAAGAGGTACTAGATATCTAAAATAACTAAACTATATCTTCTAAAACAAGAGACCTCTTCAGCCACAACCAGCAGTAGCTGAGTAGCATGCCTTTTTGAATAACGTTATGTCCCACTTTATTCCCCGCTGTTCCCGTTTGATATGCTGTCCGCGTCCCCTTCGAAAGGCGTGTTTTTCTTAGACGAAACATTTCTGTTCTTGCAATTAGAACGTCCAAGGATGCTTCTTCACCTACCAAGAATATTAAGTCTTCTCTTTCGCGTCCTTTCCGCAGCCTCCGACAAGAAGCTAGCTACTGATCGCAAGATGGGTTTTGTAACTATACGACGTGTCTCAAAATAAGTGGTCGTTCTCTCGGATATAGCCTGTGATTCGTTTAAAGGTACTTTTATGAAAATATATATGATAACTGTCAACGGTACAGAGCTGTGGGCGGATTGCGTAAACATTAATATTTGAGGGTCACTTGGACCAATGGGGAA